CCGAGGACCCACAAGCAACATCGAGAACTACAATACTAACGACTATGGCAACATGCTCCTCACTATGGCATCAAGACAAATGATTGAAATGTCATGGTGGGGATCACTTGAAGTAAAGTAATTAGCGTGGGTGTATGACGAGAACAAAGCCTGAGAAATAACAGCACCTGAGTTTTGGCAACAAATGTCTTATAGGAACAAAAGGCATTTGCAGTGTTGACAAGAGCAAGCAACGACAAGCAGTCAACCAGGGGAGGGACTCGGTTAGGTGTTGACATTTAAGAGGATTTGCGCTGTGCACTTTTTTGTTCTTCTTCAACCGTGTTGTTCGTTGATTGGCGACGGTTTTGGCTTAACTGGGTCATAGTAGTGACTGTGTCGTTTGCATTCATTCCCTTTTTTCGATGTGTGAGTTGGAGAGGGTTGTAGTTTGAAAATATGTTCCAGTTGCTCACTGATAAAATGATGATGATGATGTCAAGTCAGTCTAGCCGTGTATGTTTGCTTAGCTCAATTTCATAGATCGCGTTCTCTCTCCCAGCTCAAAGTCAATGGCTCTGTGAGTGGTTTAGGATTTGGTTACCGCTCAATGGGCGCAAACAGTTCAGACCAATTAGCGCTGTGAGTCTGTCAGGAAGGGCTGGCAGCAAGTGGCAGAAAATATAGGGTTGATTCTGGTCGCTGTTAACCTGTGCCGGCTTCAGTGTCAGGTCACAAAGGCAGTCACTCGGTCAGCTGAGCACACGCACGCAATCGTGCGACTTACTCAATAGCTTACTGCAGCCATTTTCAATGCGATCCACGCCTTTGAGGTCCATATAGTGAGTGTTCGCTAGGGCGCGATGACCAGCGACTGTGTTGATGTTGAGATCGTTTCTGAGGTGGCTGCTGCTCCAGGACCCTGGGGTCTAGTAGTCTTTGAGGGGGCCCGTGAAAGTATGTACCAGACTTGGTAAGCTGGTTGTTTTGCTGGCGGTGGCAGGACCGCGGCCGAGCTACCTCACATTCGCAGCATTCGTGTCGGTGCAGTATGACTTTTCCATCAAGTCTGTGAATACCACTTTCTTCGAGGAACAGGTGCTTGAGTGGCAGGAGACCTTTTGTGCAGAAGAGCCAGTCCAAGCTCTTCGTGGTTGGCTGCTTCAGAGGATCTTTGAAGACTCGCAGGTTGATGACTACATCAATTGCTATGAGTCGCTGTACTGGATAGTGCAGGAGGAGCGATTTGATTTGGGAGAAGACGGATCTGTGAAGTCGGCTGAAGTTGTGGCGTGGAATAGCTATGACCAAGAGATGGTCTTGGCTTGTTTTAGGTCTTAAACGGCCTAGGGGATTGCTGTCTATGAGACACTACGTTACACTCAAGAAATTCAAAGCAATTCAACAACAATTGCTGCGTAATATGGATGTGGGCTAGAGAAAACAAAGAGGGTTCCAGAGCGTGATGTTTGGGTGTGTAGTGTAGCCGGTGTGTAGCTGGAGTGGTATTGGCGACCACTCCCACTTATGAATTCCCACTTCATTAAGCATTGCTTCCTTACTGTTGCCAATTCTAGTGTTGGACTCTTGAGGCTCAAATGTATTGTTCAGGAAAACACACATGGCCCATGGCTGTATAGTATACTAGGCGGTGATGATGAATAGAGCAAAATGATTCATATATACACAAAAACAATAGATATATATATATAATATGACCGAAGCGATGCCGTAAAGCGTTCGATTCATCATATGCGTAGGGTCATTGAAGCTGCTGCAAAGCGTTCATAGTTTAGCATATGATTATGAAGTTGCTGCGGTTCATATCACATCATCATAGTGAAGCTGCCGCAAAACGCGCATATCAACATATAATATAATTGTAAGCCTAGTTGAAATGCTCACGCTGGAACATCACAAAAGTATTGCACTTTCATTTCATCTTCATCACGAAAGCCAGCCGATAGGCTAGGCTGAAGTTGGGCTGGGCGACGGAAGTGGGTAAAGGGGGTGTGGGGGGGTGGTGGTCGCACACGCGCCAATGTCGGAGGGCTAGCCCAGAGCCTGGTAGGGGAGAGCGAAAAGAAGAGGTGGCCAGGAGGAATCGAAAATGAGTCGTTTTTGGGGTTGCCACAATGCCCAAGCAAAACTAGGGAACAGACTACATGTGCCGCAATGCAGGCCTTTTCACTGCTGCTGTTGCCTCAACAGTTGCACCCTCCACCCAGCGCCAACCGTAAAAGATATCAATGTGGTCATGGGGGGTGAGCGCGAGATTCCTGGTGAGCTCCCCACCTCTGTTCCTATCACATCCTCCCCGCTAAATACGCCTGTCCTGCACATGAACTCCTACTCCATATGGGGTGCCCTTTTGCGGCTGGTCAACAGGCCTCTTCACCCTTGAAAAAGGGCACCCCCAAGCAATTCAAAGCTTGCTCGCTGCATTCTCTCTCCTGCCCTCAACGGCCCGCGTCACTACATGAACTCGCACCATATATGGGGTGCCCTATTGCGCATGGTTAGGGGGCGTCTTCATGATAAAAGGGCGCCCCCAAGAAATTTGTCCAACCACGTCCTCCTCTGCCACGCATGTTCTCCGCACGAACTCCCACCCTAATATGGAGTGTCCTTTTGCGTATGGTGACAGGTGTTTTCACCATAAAAAAGGGCATCCCCAAGCAACTCCAAGATTTCTTGCAAGCTCTCTTTTCCGACCACATCCTCCTCTTATGCCTGTCTTCCACCTGCCCCACAGCATTCTGTTCCCTCTCCTGCCCTCACAGTCGAAAGAGACACACGCCTCCCTTTCACCGCTGGTCGAACAGTATTTCAATGGCCACCCATCTCCCTTTCCTGGAAGGGTTCCAACCACTGTTCGCGTCCCGTTGTCCCCTCTTTCCTATTCTCGACATAAACTCCCACCCCTGGTAGAAGACGGCTTACATTGCCTCCTGAGCCCCTCATGATGCTTTTGATGCAATACTGGCTGTCAATTGCACCGGCATCCAACCTTGGCAAAGAGCAAGGGGGGCAGGTGCTGCTGTTCCAGGCAGTTCCATGTGCTATTATGGCTGAGCCGGCTCAGGAAAAAAGCACAGCATCGCAGGGCAGGCGCGCATCATCATCGCTGTCGCTCAGTACCATCGCTGGCGCTCAGTATACTACCATCGCTGTCGATCAGTACCATCGCTGTCGCTCAGCACCATCGCTGTCGCTCAGTACCATCGCTGTCGCTCAGTACCATCGCTG